GTTTTCTACATCGTATCGTAACTGGCGATGAAAAATGGATCTACTATAATACGATAACCCTAAACGCTTGAAGGCATGGGTGATGCCAGGTGAACCAGGTCCAACGCCATCAACGCCAAAACGAAATATTCATGCTTCAAAAATTATGTTGTGCATCTGGTGGGATCAAAGAGGTATTATATTGGGTCATCTAAAAAGTATCCGCGGTTTTTTGTCACTAGATGGTGTTGACCATCAACACCATCTAGTGACAAAAAGCGCAGATACTTTTTAGATGACCCAATATGTTATGAACTGCTCAAACCGTCCGAAACCATCACTGGCGATCGTTATCGGCTACAACTGATACGTTTAAACCAAGCAAAAAAGAATGGGACAATAGGCACAACAAGCTGATTCTGTTACATAACAACATTAGGCCACACATTGCAAAATCGGTCAAGAAATACTTGGAAGGAGTAAAGTGGGAAATTCTGCCCCACCCGCCGTATTCACCTGACATTGCCCTTTCAGATTTTCATTTGTTCCGATCCATGCAGTCGGCCCTTTCTGGAGAACGATTCAATTCTTATGAAGGTATCAAAAAATGGCTTGATGAATGAATCGCTTCAAAAGAACTAGATTTTTTCATTCGAGGAATTCGTTTATTATCGGAAAGGTGGGAGAAAGTTGTCGCTTCCGAAGGAGCATACTTTGAATAAACTCACTTATATAGATTTGTTTAAATAAACACATCTTTTTCATTTAAAAAGGGCGAAAACTTATTCCCATACCCAATATTATTCAGCAAGCCTTCAGGGGATCGATTCTGTATCTTGAAATAAGGTGAAAATTATAAAAGCGAATTTACTAGCATACTGATTATTTCATTGGTCAACACCTGTAAATTTGCTCACTTTTGTAATTTTCCTTGTTTGAAGATATAGAATCGACCCCCTGGAGGTTAACGTGGCATTTCAGATAAGTATTCTGTTCGATTTCTCGTTCAGTTGGGTCGAATCTCTGTTGAGACTAATAAAATAAAGGTGGTCAATGATTTCTTTATTCGCAAAATTTTTTTCTCTTCGTACAACGGTCTCTTCTTACTGTTAATATAACTCATCTCTCTCACTCTGTCATCCTAAACTAAAAATCAACCTAAACTAAAAATGCGCCATACAAAAATGCGTCTACTCTCACTCCGCTACATCTTATGGAATCGATTACAAAGATATTATGAAATATCCCGCCCATCTTGAAATCTTAAATTTTCAATAAATGAAAGGATCATAGAATGAAGAGAAGTGAGTTAAATCAAATTAAATCAACATATCGGTAAGATACAAATTTTTGACAATGGTCGCTGCACGATACCGTTTGCGGTCCTTATGCTCACGATCCTTACATGTCCATTTTTATCCGCATGTACCTGAGTAATACGTTCCAACCTCCACTTAAGAGGGGGTGAGTAATCCTTGAGAATTACTAGTCTATCGATCTGCGATTCACTATCGCTTGGAGCCTTCTTTCATTTACGCCTGATTTGTAGCTGAGACAAATACTCATGGCTCCAACGAGACCATAAATGTTGCTGAAGTTTAATCAATAACTGATAACGCATAAGATAATTCGTTGGAGTATCTATTAAGTCCCGTTGGGGCATTGCACTTAGAGGTGTTCCTATCAAAAAATTCCCTGGAGTTAGTGCGGTTAAATCTGCTGGGTCATTTGATATAGGAGTTAGCGGTCGAGAGTTAAGACGAGCTTCTATTTTGGTTATTAAAGTATAAAACTCTTCGATCCTAAAAGGTCAAAAGAGCTTCTTCCATTACCTTCTTCAATCTGGTTTTAGCTGCTTTAATACTGACCTCCCATATTCCTCCCATATGGGACGAATACGGGGGTTATGAAATGCCATTGAGTGGCCTGTTCCGCTAGAAATTTCTGCATTTGTCGTTGATGATTCGATTTTCGGATCAGATCCGCGAATTCTTTCAATTCATTATTGGCCCTGAAATTAGTACCGTTGTATGAATAGATGTTCACATTTTCCTCTTCGTGCAATAAAACGTCTTGAATAGAGGAACGCGGCGGTACTTAAATCACTTACGAGTTCCAAATGGATAGACTTGATGTTCAAGCATACAAAGATATGCTTTAGAACTCTTATTGCACGAAAGTTTAATCTTAAACGGGCCTCCATAATCTACATCTACGTTCAAGAATGCTCGAGTGGGATTCACTCGTACCTTGGATAAGTCTCCCATGATTTCAGAAGGGCTTTTGTCGTAAAACCTTTTTTTTTTTTTGTTAACGGAGGGGAAATGCCTGACGCATACCCCGAGCCTCGGGGGAGAGCCCGTGGTTATGTAGGGATTCCACCCACTAAAACCCCTCCGGGTGTCCTTACCTGGCCTTGCATGAGGGACTCCCAGGAACGCGTGCAGCATACTTCTGGGAGCCCCTCAGGCCAGTCGGCTTATTGCCGACTTCGATTCCCGCCCGGGGATTTTTATGACGTCATCTTATAAGACGACGTGGCCCCGAGCGGTGCTGGGCACCGACTGCCCTATGTTCGGGCGCTGGGGAGACACCACCCCCTGCGCCCGCCGCCCCGGTTGGTGTTGGGGGGCAGGAGTTGGGGATCACGGCGCCCGCGTCGACCCCCAACGCCACTACCCCGCGCATATCCTTCCCCCCCGTCAGCCCTGCCACCCGGAGGCGGCGGGGGCGGGAGAGGGGCCCGACCTCCCGGTGCCCTCTCCCTCTGCCTTTCAGCCTCCTCCTTCTGCGACATCACCCGATCGCAGAAGGAGGAGAAGGTCCTCCAAGCACTCTCCCTGCCGACTATCTCCTTCATGACAGCCGGCAGGGAGAGATCCATCCCTATCTCCCGGACCAGGAAACCGCGCTCGCCCGCCCAAGCCGGGCAGGTTTCCAGCGTATGCTGCGCGGTGTCCCGGTCCCCGTCGCAGTGGTGACAACAAGTGGTCGGCTCCTTACCTATGCGACACAGGCACTCCCCGAAACATCCGTGTCCGGTGAGCACCTGCGTTGCTTGGAACGATAGTCCGCCCCATCCCCTGCCTACCCATTCCTCGAGGCAGGGGAGGATGGTTTCCACGGTCCGAGCGCCCGTTGTCGGCGGGTCGTTTTCGGGAGGGGGGCGCCACTTTTCGGAGACCCGCCGACGGGCGTTCCTCCTCAGTCGGTCAGCGGTCCTCGGGGTTACGATCCCCCCCCCCCCCGGAGCCGAATGGCCTTCACCCCGGCGAAGATTTCCGCCAGGGCGTCGGCAGGGGAGATCCCCGCGAGGACCATGACGGTCGCGTACGACACCGTCCTGTAGGCCCTACAGATACGCAAGGCCAGCTGCCGTTGCACGCTGTGCAACTTCTGCTTTATTCGGCGGCTGGTCAGGTCCTTCCCACTCCAAACCGGGGTCCCATAAAGTGCCCCGGACAGGACGGCGTGCATATACGCCAACCTGACCGACCCGTTCGGACCGTGGAGGTTGGGCATGAGGTCGAGCAGAGCATCTGCTCGGCGGCCCAACCACGGGGCTAGCTCGTCGAAGTGTTCGACGAAGCCCAGCGATCATCCACGGTGAGGCCCAGATATTTGATCGTTGGGACATCGTCTACCACTATATGTGTCTGTGGGGGCACCCCGCTCTTTCCATCGTGGAAGAATAAAGCTTCCGATTTAGCGGGGGCCACCCTTATGCCCAACTCCTTAATGGAGCCGACCACACACGCCACTGCGACGTTTGTACCGACGGCTCTCTCCCAGGTCGTGCCCCCGACCACCACCAACATGTCGTCCGCGTAGCAAACGACGTGGCAGCCGGGGGGTAAGGCCGCGCGGAGAACGTAGTCGTATGCGACGTTCCAGAGTAGGGGTCCCAGCACGGACCCCTGTGGAACGCCGCACAACATATCCCTCCGCTGCTGGAGTCCCGTTTTGTTATGGAACTCCAGCTGCCTGTCCCGGAAATAGTCCTCTATAATAGCGACCAGGTAGGGGGGAAAGAGGTGATGTCCTCTCATCGCCCCCACTACCCGGTCCCATGGGATGCTATTAAAGGCGTTGGCGATGTCAAGGGATATCGCCAACGCCACCTCCCCTCCCGCGGTCATCTGCTCCGAGAGGGCTCTGACTTGTCTGACGGCGTCGATAGTCGACAGGCCCTCCCGGAAGCCATACTGACCGCGGGATAGATTGGTACCATCCCGGGACAGGTGCCGGACGATGCGGGCAGCAATGACTCGCTCCAGCAATTTCCCCGCATCGTCCAGCAGGCATAATGGCCTATAAGTGGAGGGACTCTCCGCTGGCTTGCCCTCTTTACGGAGGAGGACAAGCCTGGCCCTTTTCCACGGCCTGGGAAATATGCCATCTCTGAGGCAGCTCGTGAAGAGCCGCCTCAGACGGCCGCTCACTATGGGGGCCGCGGTGAACCAGACCCTTCCGTGTACACCGGAGGGTCCGGGCGCCCGCGGCCTCCCCTTGAGGCGGGCGAAGTCCATCACCATCTCCTCTCGGGTGACGCCCAGCTCCTCCGTCCATTCGGACGGGGGGCCGACCCTCTCCGGTATTTCTCTTTCCCGATTGGGAAAGAGGACGGTCACCACATCCTCCAGGAACTGAGCGTCCAGGGTTTCCGTTATCGGGGGGGGGCCCACGGACGAAATTGCTTCGTCACAATTTTGTAGGGCCTCCCCCACAGATCCCTGTCAAGGGAGGAGACGAGGTCGCGCCAAGCGTCGGCCTTCGCCCTCCTAATGGCCGCCCTTTAGTTGTTTTGCAACCCCCTGCAGAGGCGGCCTGAAGTACGGGGACCTCAGATCCTCCTCTGTGACCGTCACGCGCGGTCGCGGCTCCTCCCCCTCCGCGGGAGCTTTCTTCCCGCCCCTGGTCCTGATGGGGCTGCGGGCGCTGGCTAGGCTTTCGGGACCCGACCATTCCATGGTCGAGTCCCATTCATGGCCGGTCGCCCCGTCCCTCCCAGAGGTGCAGTGGGAGGTCGATCTCTCTCTGCTCTTGCCCTGTTCCAGGACCGCGACCCTGGAGCGGAGGAGTACCAGCTCTTGGTTGAGCCGCCGCTTTTCCTCCGCCCAGGCTGCCGGCTTGGAGCACTCGTCCCTCTGGCCTCCGTTCGCGGCCAGGCTGCCGTCACTCACCCTCGCAAGGACTGACGTGAGGGCTGCGGAGAGCTTGGTGTATGCTGTCCACATATCCCTCACGATATCTCCCTTGATGTTTTTCGATCTTTCAACCGATTTGGCAATGGTCGCCAGCTCGCGTGTTGCGACCGCGGCGACTGCGCAAATCGGCTGATCGTCGAACTCGAGGGCGAGTTCGACAGCCTTCCCTTGAGCCTTCTTGGCTGATGTGAAGGTCGGCTCAACTTCCGGATCCAAAATCGTCCGGTGGTCCTTTCTCAGCTGCCGGGCTTTGGCCTTTTCGGCCTTCTTTGCCATTGCCTCGGCAGTAAATTTCCCGACATGTTCGGGATTTAGAGCTGGCTTCCCTTTGGATCTTTTTGTTGACTCCCTCTCGGAATCCGAGGAGGAGACAACATATTCGGCCGTCCGTTTTCGGCTCTCTCCTCCAAGGGAGCTCAGCGAGGCCATAGAACCGGCTCTCGACAGCGCTCCTTCGTATGCGACCGCCTCGACGCACGCCCTGGCCTTGCTGCACGCAGGGTCGGGACGTTGTTTGCGCGAACTGTCGCTCGTAGTTGAGCGAGCGTCCGCCTCTACGCTCTGAAGCGAGCGTTCTCCTTCCACGTTATTCGTATTAGTTGAGTTGTTCATTGAGATTGATGCCCACGGCCTGCAGCGGCTCCGCCAGCCAGGGTGTACCCTCACCCCTCCCCCGAAAGTTCAGGAGAGGGGGCCCCGAGTTTCCCTGGGGGGCTGGCATATGGCTCGGGTCCCCGGAATCTGTCATCGGGGACACTGGCCTCCGGCCCCTTACTCCCCATGAACGGATGAGTTTCGGGAGTCCCTCGCCTCCGATTTCGAGGGCACCGCTGCGGGTGACGCCACCCGGGGCGGCCCCACGGACGGTTCAGGTCACGGAAGCGGCGCCCCTTCCGGACCATAGCCGCCGTGGCGACCAGCGTTGTTTGCGCCGCCCGGTGTCCCGCTTCGGAAGGGACGCCGTCGCGGAGACACCGGGCACAATACTCGACGCCTCCCCCCCGCCCCCACCTCGAGACCCCATCCCCCTCAGTGGCATGAGCCAGCCCGTAGCCAGGAGCACCCAGCATACGGGCCGGCTCGCCTGCGGGAGCACCCGCGTCGACCCTTTTGCACGCAAACCCCAAGGGAATCACCCCACCCCATAGGGAGGAGGGGAGGACCCCACGGGGGTCCACGCGCAGTGGGGGTCGAAACCCCACATCACGCACGGGAAGGGAGCAATCCTCCCCCTGACGGTGCCGTGCCACCGGGCGATTGAAGTCAGGGCCGCCAATCCCTACCGGCACACTGGGGACCCGTCCCGAAGGACGAGATCCCCAGGAGTCCCTCCCACGAGGAGAGGAGACCCCCTTGGGGTGCCAGACCCGGTGTACAGACTCTCCCCGTGAGGAGAGAGTCCGTACAGGCTGCTCTTAGATCCCCACGTGCCGCAAGCGACCCGTGGGGGAGCCCTCTCCACGACAAGGTGGCAGCCCGCGAGAGGGTTGCCGCAAAACCTGTAACACACTAAACATAGATGCAGTACTCGGCGGACTGTGGATCGATCAGCAAGGATTCAATATTGCTCTCTTAGAATACCTAACAAGGTTTCTGGGCCAGCATGCAAATGTCTCAGGTGAGCGTCTCTAATAATCAATTCACGTGATCATTGGATGCGAATACAACAGGAAATTTTCTGTCATAAGACAACTCCGAATTTTTCAACCGTCCTCCTACTTTGAGCACTCCACGTGCATCTAAAAAGGGGTTGAAACACAAAAGTTTATTCCTTTCGGAGAACATTTTCTTGTAAGATTCGCTATCTCTTGAGAAAAATATTGATTCTGATGCAAGAGAATGGTGATCATTGCTTCCTGCAATTCGTTTATTGAGAGTATTCCCATTTTTCAACCGCTTGGGGTCTTGCAGTTATGTGCAAATCGCTTGCAGTAAGCTATCACTCCTTTCAATCTTTTGAGTGAAGAATATTTAACTAATAATGTATGTGCTGTGTCTTAGTTACATGTACCGACGTCACGGGTTTGCTTTCGGATATTTCTTCTGATAACTCCTCCGGAGTGAGGAAGTTTTTCAGATTCTATAAGCCAAATAGGACTCTTCCACCATAGGTCCTGTTCCTTCAAAGCTTTCGGTCGGACCCCTCTTGATAACATATCTGCTGGATTCTCTGACGATGTAACATGTCTCCATGACGATCCTTGAGTCAATTCTTGTATCTCTGCTACCCAATTCGCGACGAAGCTTTCCATCGAGCGGGTTCTCCCCTGATCCAAGCTAACGTGATTGTCGAATCCGACCAATAGTATCTCTGCTGTATAGGTAAGTTAAGAGAGTTTTATTGTTTTTATCCATCAGCTTGGCCAATAATACTGCTGCACATAACTCAAGTCTTGGAAGACTAATTTTCTTCAAAGGTGCGACTCTAGACTTCGCACAGACAAGTTGACAAGTTCTCTTGTCTCTATCTTTCGATAATAAGTATAAACATGCACCATACGCGCTTTCTAAAGCATCACGAAATCCGTGGATCACCAAATTTGTAAATGAGATGTCAACCATAAGTTTGGGAACTTTGATTTCTTGATGTCCTGTCAAGAGCCGATAATAGGACAACCATAGTGTAAGTCGGCCAGCAATGACTCGTTCCACTGCATCTTATCTCGCCACAATATTTGCAAGATAATTTTAGCTCGAATGTAGATTGGACTAATTAAACCTAATGGATTAAAAATCTGTGCGACAAACGATAAGATGATCCTCTTCGTTGCTGGGCAATTGTCTGGAAGTTTCACTTTATAGAATAATGTGTCAGTGGTAGGTTGCCAATAGAGTTCTAGCGTCTTAACCTCCTCTCCCATTGTTTGCTGCTCATCAACCTTGTCTCGCGGATCGGTTTTTGAAATCTCTGATAAATTGGATCTCCATTTGCGTATGCAAAATCCTCCGGTGCCTAGGATTTCCTTGATTCTACTCTGAATGTGTTGTAGTTTTGACTATGCTACTGGCGTCAGTGATCAAATCGTCCATATAAAAGTCTCTGGGAATAATCTGACTAATTTCTGAAATGGTCTCCTGGTGATTATAGGCTAATTGATGTAGATAACGTACTGCTATGAACGGAGACGTCGCTAATTCAAATGTAACTGTGTTTAACGTGAACTCTTCGATTAGTGCGTTTGAGTCTTCCTTCCATAAAATCCTCTGTAGCCTTCAATGCTCTTCGTGTACATAAATCTGTCTAAACATCTTTTCGATGTCCCCGGTTAACACGTAAGGATGTTGTCTAAAATGGATGAGAATGGCAAATAACTCCTGTTGTATTGTGGGCCCCACTCTCAGAATATCATTTAATGATTTGCCTGAGGAGGTTTTACAGGAGGCGTCAAATACAATCCTTAATCTCGTGGTCGAACTGTCTTCCTTTACGATCGCGTGGTGTAGTAAATAGCAGAAAGGATTCGCTTGATTGATTTGTTCTTCATTTTTCTTGGTCTTCTCATATGGTCTAATGTCGTGGCCTAATGTGTAATCGAATACTCCTTGAGGCATGCACTGTATTGCTCTTTCAACCCCGGGTTGAAGTTTAATTGTTTATATACGGACTGCAGACGTTTGACGGCTGTTTCTTGAGATTCTCCCAATTGAGCAGGGTCTTCTCGAAACGAAAGCTTGACAATAAATTTTCCTGAAGAATCTCTCTGATAGGTATTCCTGAATTCTCTCTCGCATCTCCTCTGGAGTGAAATAGATTGTCGGAAGATTCCTCTAACTCCCAAAAACGTTTCAATTGTTGCTCTATTTTGGGCTCCTGTACTGTTGCAGTGAGGACCGTTTTCTTCAATTCTTCTTCGTTGTATGACATAGGTGCACTACCTCCTATGATCCATCCTAATTTCGTCTTTTGAAAAACTGATAAATTTCGTCCTAGTTTTATTTGCCCTATACAGAGTAGATCCCAAAAGATTCCACTACCTAGTAGGATATCCACTTCTCTTGGTTTATCGAAGAAAGTATCTACTACTTGAACATTTCCGGGAACATTATTTTTAATGCATCCTTATTTATCTTTATTGATAACATAGGCTCGATTATGTAACTTATAATCACAAAAGATAACTCTACCTTGAATTCGTTAACTGTTGAATGTATAAAGGCTCGTGTCGATTCTAAAGTACTGGCCTGACTATACCCAATCCCAGATAAAACGATATTGCCTTTCTGCTCTGTTAAATGAAGCCTTTGACTTAAGCCTTTAGAGATTATAGTAATTTGAAATCCCATGTCCAAAAAGGCTCTGCTTCGATGTGACCTATCATACTTATCGT